CGCCCCGCCAGGTCGACCCTCCGCCGCCCCGGAATACTAAGCAGACCGCGCCGCGCCGGAAGACGCCCGAAAGCACACGTGCCGAGAATTTGGGCATGTCTCACTAGGGAACGTCGGCTTCGTACACAAAACGATTCAAACCCTAGAGAATTCACAATATTATAATCGTACTACATACCTAGTCGTACACCAAACGGATTGCTGTCCATACAACTGGTATATAAAGATACCCTGTCCTGTCCTGTCCTTTGAGTACGGGCCGCTACGGGCCTTAGCCAACCACCGAATCCCTTGGCAGACCAGAGAATCCCAAGGCCCCTCGACCATGAGATACGGGTTTGTACGGTTGAATTGAATTGAATTTCCCTTATTTTACGTGGCGAGACTCGGGCCACCAGGCCCGCTCTTCCGTCTGACCACGCAAATTTCGCTACGCTTCTTTCACCAACTAGGAGAGAAAGGAGGTATTTCTTGGGCGAGAAACAGACGATTTGAATTTAGGTCAGAGGTGTCATTTAGGCTTGAGGATCTTTTACATGCAAGTAAATCTACGAACATGGGACAGCCGGCTTTACTTCCCCTCCGAAGGAAGGCGAACGAAGGATTTTTTCGCCCTTTGATCGGGTTTGAACCCGCCAACTTGGGTACAACAGTCCAGTACGCTAACCGTTTCACCATGACTTGGTTAGCACCAAGACATCCCTCCACCCTATACACTGGTTTTCATAACCTTAGGATGGGTTTTCTCATCGCCACAACAGACACTGGGACATTTGTAAGGACAGCGCACAGTTATAATTTTGTCCCGGCCGGGAATCGAGCCCGGCGTTACGCCATGGCAAGAGAGCACGCTAACCAACGAGCCACCGACGGTCTATAGAGTACAACCCTGCCAATTATGAAATGAGTCATACATGATGAGTAAATCATGAAACGTGATGATTTCCCCTTTGATTATCACGCTGCTATCAGCAACGGTGCAAATTCGGCGAGTAACAACCTCCGAACTCTAGCGCAGAGGCTTCTCTCAACGTCTGTGTCCGCGTTTACAATTGCACTCCAAACAAATGTTCACTTTCATTTACCCTAAACAGCTATTTTTTGTTGTTGTACAACTGCACACCCAAAAGGGAGTGAATAGTATGATAGCGTTTCAAACGAGGCACAAAAAAGTGCTTGTAATGAGCAGAAATTAAACCACGGAGATAAAGCATCAATATTACTTAATACCGATATTAGAATTTAAGAGGAAGAGATGTAACAAGTTAAGTGAGTTGTTGGAGTAATGAATATGACATTTCAGCTACTGGTTTATACTAACGTATCCAAATTATTACGAACAACAGCAACGCGAGCAAAATACCAAATTCATAATCCAAATGAAGCTTGTCTAAAATCTTTGAACAAATATATCAAGACATTAATAATTTAAACGTAGTGAATTAAACCTGACGTTAATATTGCAACTAAAAACTCGGATGATGTGGTTTAGAATACATATTTCCTTTAATATGCTTTTTTTATATGACATCCTGTTTGTATGGGATATTGAATTCAAAATGCCTTCATAAACGTGCTCATTGCAGAAGAAGTTTCTTCCATACCTCTGGCGAAGAGGAATTCGAAATCTTCCCATACGAGAGGTTGCCATTACCGAAGACTGGATGCGTGCCAACACGGGAGTTCCTGTTCACATATATTCGTTTTTATAGTGTGTACTCAAAAGAAGCCGCCAACAGGGTCTGGAATACCTCTTTCTCCGTCTGAGATGACGACCCCCAAGATGATCGGAGCGGGAGAGTGCAACGTCGTTACCGCAAAAAAATCTTAGAACACAGTGGGGCAAATACACAAAACGGTAGCAAGACCATTCTTCCATTAAGAAACAAAAACCCGACTGCTGCCTACAAGATAGACTCACGAAAAAATACTACTAAGTAAATTGGCGTTGGACCCTTTATTACTGACGTTTTTAATGCACCCGAACTGAATTTTTAAAACGTGTAGTTTTGCTGTGTTGCTTATAAATGTTAAGGAGAAAATGCATCGATTTGTTCAAGAATTATTAGGGCGTAAAAAGGCTTACAAAGTGTATGATGAAAACATGTGCGGTTGGATAAAAAGTACTTTTTTTCAATTATTAGGTTAGAAAATTAGGTTTTTAGATTAGAAATGATCTTGGAGATCAATATTTTAATAAAAAACAACTATCATACATAAAGATTTTGCACTTTTCCTTCTCCTGACGCCAGATTTACTGCAGTCACTGTGAAGCAAGCAAAATCATCGCACAGAACAGCCAGTTGCGAAGCACCGTTCTTCCCGACCAAAAGTTTTATGACTCAATTTTTGTGGTCTGTTTACGTGCTAGAGGAAGAAAGCGGAGAAAAGGGCGAAATACTTCTCCGTTCGTCATTCAAGCTTCACAATTGGAAACCAGTCGTTTCTGTAAAAGTGTTCTACCCGATACCATACAACAGTTGAACTGTGACACGCATTATCTGACTGGCAATACTGCAGCAGTTGTAACTATGGACAGTTGAATAACGTTTCGGAAGTGTGCCAGTAAAAATGATCTAAACGAGGTAATTAGGGGAAAATATTACCTTTGCCACGAAAAAGAACTGAATTCACTTAGTTTTCACAAGACTTGCCCAATCAGGTATCTTCCACCAACATACCGGGACAAGTTCTGGACTCCCCACAAATGAGATACAGTAGTATGTATACATATACACACACACACACACACACACACACACACATATATATATATATATATATATATATATATATATATATATATATATATCCTATCCCTAGCACTGTGTGTGTTTGAAAGTGGTAGGGATAGGACAAGGAAGAAAGCTTCGATCGGTCCGCGGTTCTTTTGTTAGGGTACAGCTCCGTCATTCGCCTGGTGTTGATGGTAGAAACCTCGAAAAACCACAGAGCAGTCGCCCGGTAGAATTGTGCTCCAGACAGCGGCTGAATTCGCCCTAGCCACGTATCTAGTGGCTGAACTGCTGCCTGAAGCCGAGCTCGAGGCCGGCGGCGCTGCCGCGTCCCTGTGCGCGGGCGCGGGGCGCGGGGCGCGGGGCGCGGGGTACTCACTGGTCCTGCAGGGGGAGTACTCGTTGAAGCGCGCGAACCGCTCCTGCGCCACCCAGCACGTGCCCACGGGATCGTGGCGCTCCTCACGCGTGTTGGGGTAGTACACATAGCGCGGCGCGCACGCCTGCAACACGACACAGCACACGCACACGGGTGAGGCACAGACGACACAAAACAGGACAATAAGCACCTTGCACACTGAAAGTAGTGTGTAGAACCATGCAGGTGGTAATTTACAAAAAAAACATCAAAGTAATGTGTAGAAACAGGCAGATAGTAATTTACAAAAAAACAGTGTTGCCAACCCCACCTGGTTAGCGATGGTCAGAAATTTCAAGAAACTACAATGTACATGATCTCTGTGATACAAGATGGGAATAAACATTATTATTATTATTATTATTATTATTATTATTATTATTATTATTATTATCATTATTATTATTATTATTATTATTATTATTATTATTATTATTATTATTAAAAACTGCAAGTGCACTGCTTCAGCGCCCAGGGGCGTATCGTAATTTATCTTTGTCATCACATCATCTCAAATAGTATCTATTCTTTTAATTTGTGATTTCTCTTATACGAAATGTTTGACGCGTTCCAGAGGAAGACTCGAAAATCCGAGTCGAAACATCGTTTGTTCACAATCTTAAAAATATCGATCTTTTGGAATGTCAAGGCTCCAAATAACAAAATCGAACAAAATGAGTTGTGAGATATGGTTCTATATGACTTTTGCTACACGTAGAACACGCTGGTGCTGCAATCCGTGGATAAATACCTTAACAAAAATAACTACTGTAGGTGGAGAAATGATACATTGACATCACTTTCCTTGAAACGACTGAAATGTTAGTTGAAACCTTGTCATTGTAAAGGGTCGATATGGAAGTATTTGTTTTTCAGTAGACATAATTTAAATACATTCGAATTTGTGGCTCACTATCAAAATTGTTATGAAAACTGTTTTTGTGTATCTCAGTCTTATTAACCATTGTAAATAAAACAAATTTAAGACGAAAAAATAACAGTTGCCAGATTTTCATACTGGGAGAAAAAATAGTTTAAAATCATAGGAACAAAAGCGTCACATCATTAACTCGCAATTGATACGCAAGAAGTCAGTATTGTGTTTTATTTTAGAGTAATGTAGTGTTTAATGTCTTTCGGGCCATCGCGTGACGGCGGCGCGGGGGCGGCTGGCAAGCGGGCCGCGCTCGTGGAAGCGTCCTTCTGCTTTAGGGGAGAATCGATGGCGCAAACAAATCACACGGCGCACCGCAGCGCTGCTGACAGCCACGCCCCCCTCCCACGCCCCGCACGTCACCGCCCATCGCGCCAAATGGCACGCTGGCATCAACACGCGTTTGCGCCGCACGGCCAGCACGCCAATTTCGGCTTTTAAAGCGCGCTCTCTTAGAATCACGAGTGAGTGGGTTTTGCGCTGTTGGGCAGGTGTGCCTCAGTCGTTGTAATTGCCGATACTGGTACTATAATTGCTGTTACTGGCACTAAGTCGTTACTGGTGCTAATTATTACTGATACTATAATCACTTTTGACGTTGAGTTTTATGAGCGGTTTATCGTGCGTAAGATTAAACGTTTTCGGTTTTGGTCAGTAAATTGTTTTATGAAGGTCTGAAAAGATGCATGCATCATCTTCTGGGAAAGAAACATTATAGGCTGGAAGAAAATCATTTGCTTTATATTTTTATTTAGGTATTTAACCTTGCTTCAAAAGCAGATATATTTTTTAAAATATTTTATTAAGTATAAATGTTTAATTCTGGATTCTAACTGCGTTTTCTTTCATATGTTTGCTTTATAACGACAGACCACACGTTTTTTGGTCAATCTTTAATAATAATTGAAACGTTGTAGGAATTCACCAGCATCATTGAGCTTCAAATATCTAGCAACACATGCAAATATCAACTGAGATTTTAAATTAATTTCATTCGAAAAATAGTCTAATAAAACATGTCTCATGCTTTCCAAATCTACGAATATATTCCAGCTGTACAAATATTTCCAAACCAATTTCAAAAAATCATTTCAAAATAATGAAGATATCTATATTTTGTATATTAAGGTACTGATTAAAACAGAGAATACAAAATAATTAAATAGCAATTACGTTTATCGATTGCCTGGTTCATTTAAAATCGAAGCGCGTAGTGCAGAGTAGAATCGCCAGCCCTGACCCGCCCGTCGGAGCTGCCACAATGTTCCAAGCAGGCAAGGAGTGGGAGGGGGCAGGGGTGGCGAGGGGAGATGGGAGTGGGGAGTGGGGGCGTTATTGTTGCCTGCAAATTAATTCTGCGCGTGAATGCCACTCATCTCCAAGGCTCAGGCCGCCTCCGACGTGTAGCTGTCAAGAAGCGCTGAATTTCGCTGCCCCGCGCAGCGAGGGCGGCCGGTAGCGGACCTTTGGGGCTGTTCGCCGGCTACCACTGCAACTGGGATTCAAATCCCTCTCGTTCTATGAGGAATTTGTGGCGGATTCGGAGATATTTTCTGGGTTCTTCCGTTTCCCCTGCCTCTCTTCCAGTATTACTCATAATTCTTATCATATTTTCATAGTCACTTGTGCGTAAATCATTCATCCATTCCTGCCCCATGTTATGTCCAAAGGACTTGGTTTCATAGTACGGAATATTATAGAAAGATCGCTGGTATAAATCGTTGGTATCGATCACTGGTATCATAGAAAGGAATATCACTAGGTTGCCTACATTTTCTATTTGTTATGACAAATTTGCATGCCTGGTAGTGCAAATAAAAATGGTTTGATATTTATCATGCCTACGTACATAAATGTGGTTTGTACTTGTTATTCTACTTGAGTTTTCTATGAAAATCGATAATCAAAAAGCCCAAATAGACGTGAAATCTACCGTTGAGTTCTGCGATTCTTTGCTTCTCACAAGTAGTAAAAAGTGTTGAAAACGTAAGCAGTAAAGCAAACTGTACATACTTGTCATTATCAGATTTCACTATTTTATATGAGAGTAAAGAGAAATTGAAAAAAATATATACATTTTCAAAAATGAGAAGATCCATTCATTTGCAGGAAACTACATGGAGGGTTTTTTTTGAGGTAAGAAATATATCTACATATTTAAAACTCTAAGGGTTTTCATTTAGAATACAATTGTTCTTGGTCTTGGATGTTTAGTTTACCAGGATTCATTTTTTAATAGAGCCGTCCAGGTTTCATTGCCGCGATAAAGCGTGTGAATATAAGATGGCACGTGATGCAAAGATATGCCTACATCTTGAGGTTATAGTTGGCACAGCGAGTATAGCGAGTTTTTTGGTATACAAAGATTGTTTTTAAATGCAAAGATAAGTGAGTGTATAGAAAAACAATGCAGTATAGCAATTGAAACACGTACCTCTTTACAAAATATCATAGATTATAATAGTGATACATTACGTTTTTTAGTTGAGGTGAATACCAGGATATTCTGATGCACTACTATATACACGTGTAGATTGTGGTATATATAAATAATTTTAATTAACTTTTCAAAAAGTAGCTTAACTCTGCCTTCACAGTGAATTGGAATTAGATTGGATTGTTTCAGAAAGTACTAAAAGACATGAAAATATTTTGGCGGAATTTCGAATTTTCGCATAGTGAGAATGCAGTACTTTTCTGTTGTAAATTTTCTACAGCTCTTCTTATTGTGCGATGAAATTGCAAGGATTCAGCTAGTAAGTTTAGAATTAGCGTACAAGGAGAACAAAGAAAACGTTTGATAAAAGATTGGGGAAAAGTGTTTGGAACGGGGAAGTGTTTTAAGAGTTGATTGTTCGTCAAATGTATCTACTGTACATGTACTTGAAGGAGAATTAACGCAGAATACTTCCTGAGCACAATTTTTGAGTATAAAAGACATCGTTCGGTATTCTGAAAGATCATTCAAGGAAAGTTGTTTAGTAAGATACGCGCTTTTAGGTTTACGGAGTTACAAAAAATACTCCCTCGATATTCATATAATCTTCATTCACGCCATTGACATCGAAAACGGTCTGAACACGGTTTCCTGCACAAGATCATTTACCGAACGTACGCGAGGCATTTCTATCCCGTTAGCATCTCATCAGCTTGATTACTTCGTTCGGTTACAGCCGCAGCTGAGTGTATTGAGCAAAATATAACTTTAATTGAAGAGATATCCACGCTTGTGTGCCTTTGCCTCGAACTGTGTCGTAGGTCGAGCTCGCAATTACAAAGCGCGATCTCCGCCCTCGGAGGAAGAGGCACAAGAAAGCGATTCATGCGCCTCTGGTGGGAGGGGGGGGGGTAATTCGCTCTGAGAAGTTGCAGTGCGCAGACGGCGCTGCTATCGCCCATCGCTTGCTGTCGCCCAGAAGCCGCCGTCGCCCGCCGCCCGCCGCCGGCTTTCAATGGGGCGCTGCCGTACAAACGCGGCCATAAATCGAGAGAGCTCGTTGACTGGGTGGGAGAACGCGACTTCGACGGGCCGCTCTCCCGCGCGCTCTTCCCTTCCACCGCCCACTCTCCTATTGGCTGCTTTCTTCGTCCCCTTTTCTGTTCCCTTCTCTTCCTCTTTTTCCATCTCCTCCCCAGTCTTGTACTTCCGCACGGCTTCTGACCTCTCTTTCAGCCTATTTCTTACTCCTCGTTTTCCACTCTCTTTCCTTCCATCATTTTTTCTCCTCCTCCTGTCCTCGCTTTCCTTGTCTTCTTTCCTCTTTTCGACTCTGGTACTTCTTTCCTTCCCATTGTTCCTTACACATATTTAAATTATTATAATATTTTCATTAATTTTTTTTTTTTTTGCGTTTTCGTGGCTCACCAAAAAATTGTGTCTCCAGCAATCACCGGTAATTATTAATCACAATACACGAACACAATAATCATCTTTCATAAACAACCATACAAATACTCCTACTAAACAGTCTCGTCCCTGGCTCAGAACAGTCTGCGGCGCCGACCACGATCGGAGCGACGCCTCCAAGTGCCTCCACTTCTTGCTGTGCGCGCGGGCGCCGGCGCCGGCGGCAAAGCGGTGGCGGCGGTGGCGGCGGTGGCGGCGGAAGCGGCGGCGGAGCCGGCGGCGGCAGCGGCCGAGGAGGCGGGCAGTGGCAGCGGCGGAGACGGAGGTGGAGGCGGAGGTGGAGGGGGCGGGCAGCGGCGGCGGCAGCGGCAGGGCGTAAGTGCGGAGCAACGGTCGGCCGCCTCTTTGACCCGGCCCTACAGCTAGCAACGAGGAAGAGCAAAGCAAGCGTGGTGCATTCCCGCGAACCCGCGTCCACGGCGCCTTCCAGAAACAACCGCTCAAAACTAAAGTTCTCAAAGAAACAACGTGAGAGTTGATTCGGTGCAACAATGGATATGGCATTACATTCTAAGGAAATCCATCTAGTTACATAGAGTTCAAGAGGACCTATGCGACCACATCAAGGACGAGAATCAGTAATTAAAACCACATTTTACGAGTCATTTGGAAATGAAAAAAACACACACAAAAAAACTTGTTTACAATATATTAAAACGCAATCGAGTATTTTGAGCGCGAGGTATAAGAAATAAATAAGCAGGTTCAGAAGCAGAACACAATATTCATCCTGCGCCAGCACAGATGCGTTACAACCGTAATTTCATGAGCGATTTAGAGTAATTAAGACAAAATTTTTGATTTTTTAAACAATGGACTAATAGTCCAATGAACATCAACACGCTAATTGAGCAACAAGGGGTGTAACTCTTTCCCAAAGACCAAATACGAAATAACGAACCAGAAAGAGAAAAAAAAACCATATATTCCCGCCATTACCAACAATAATCGCAAATAGCAGTCGACCCGTTACCTGATTACGCGACACCAGGTCAATGCGATCGCTTCCTCCCCTTCAATTCCACACATACATACACTAATACACCGCAACGCAGAAACTGCACCGGGGGAGGCTGGAACCACCAACCTTACAGTTAACAGCCGGAGATACCCGACTGCGCCACGGAGGCTCTCGCCCCGGGTGGGCTCGAACCACCAACCTTTCGGTTAACAGCCGAACGCGCTAGCCGATTGCGCCACGGAGGCTGTGTGGAAACCCTTTCTCGTCTTCATTTCACCCCAATTCATACATCGCTATGCCAAAACAATCCCTCGCCCCCGGGTGGGCTCGAACCACCAACTTTTCGGTTAACAGCCGACCGGGCTTGCCGATTGCGAAACGGAGGCTGTGTGGAAACCCTTTCTCGTCTTCATTTCACCCCAATTCATACATCGCTAGGCCAAAACAATGCCTCGCCCCCGGGTGGGCTCGAACCACCAACCTCCCGGTTAACAGCCGAACTCCCTAGCCGATTGCGCCACGGTTGCTGTGTGGAAGCCCTTTCTCGTCTTCATTTCACCCCAATTCATACATCGCTATGCCAAAACAATGCCTCGCCCCCGAGCGGGCTCGAACCACCAACCTTTCGATTAGCAGCCGAACGCGCTAGCCGATTGCGCCACGTAGGCTGTCTTGAAGCCCTTTCTCGTCTTCTTTTTACCGGAATACATACACTGTCACACCAAAGCAGATAACAGGAATCTCCGTTGGCGAATGCAGCCGACGTCGAGATCGCGGCGCTGTAGGATGTCCGCGCCTAACGCAGTCCTCCCGAAGGGCGATTACGCCACAGAGACTGAGCTTAGTCGGTGCCGTGACGAGAGCCAGTATAAATAGTCTTCACGAAGTAAATACAGTTTGTAGTGTATCAGTGAATCGATGTAATGTGAAAATGGTGTAAATTTTGCGTATCAGTGTGAGGAGTATAAATCAATCGGAGTATAAATGAGAATATAAGTGAGATGAAAAGTTTAAACTATATTTAGTTTCTTGTAAGTAAAATACTTTTTTCTTAATGTAAGGTTACGTCCAAAGTCCTATCCTTTAAATAGGTACGTGAAGGCATGTTTTCTCTAAGTTAGTTGAAAGATTCGCTTTACATTACATGTACTCTCCCCTTCTGTCGCAAAAGCCAAGTAGGGCTGCGATTATACTTCCGCAAAAAGAAAAATAAATACTTTCCTCGCCAGGTATACTACTAGGGGGGGGGGTAGAGAATCTTGTGTGCCTTGATAGCGGCCGCGTGTTGCAGCAGGTGGCCGCGTCCCGAGACGCGAACAATGGCCGATGGCTATCGCTAGCAAAGTGGTGAGGCGGTGGCCGGGTCGTGGGCGGCGGCGCAGGTGCAATCTTTGCCCGTTGCCGCAGCGGGGCAGAGCAGAACCGGAAGGGGATTCGCCCGATTGCATCCCGCCGTCAGTTTTCCTCACCTCCCGAATCCAAACTAATCCAGCAACTAGAGTCATTGCTGTTTCCTGGATAGGGGACCGTCTGGGGAGGTGGGGAATATAATGACTCCACGGACGGCCAGACAGACAGACTGACAGACAGATGGAAAGACGGTTTTTGAAAAGAACCACTTTCTCGGTGTCAGGGTACCCCATGACATGTATTTCTATTGAAATCTTGAAATTGATTTTCCGCAGGATTACATAACTTTCCCTATACTACGGTATATTACTCCGTATATCGATACGTATACGAGAAAATAAATGTTAAAACGTATTTAGAGCCATTTTTGAGAAAGAACAAAATTTTTCTACTTTCAAGTAAAGAATACTCTAAAATTAGAATATTCATTTCAATTCAGCGGGATCGCGACATCAGACAGACGGAACAGAAAATATCAATTTTAGTAAAACTTCTGAATGAAATAAAGAAGCTAAAGTTGTTCACAGACCAACAGATGGATTATCAAAAACAACATTTCGGATATCAAAGGTCTACAAAACGGATGGTGTACCATCACTACGCTACCGAAAAAGTAATATGCTAGATATAGAAACAAGAAAATACGACTTTTTGGTATGAGGGACGTTGTAGCATATTAAAAAGTCAATATATTTCGCGTAATAATGTTGTTAAACGAATAATATCATGGAGTGGCGCGTATGTGACCGGATAGTCCATAAAGGTCACAACACACTAACAAAGACGCTATTTTAAAGTTATAGCTCAAATTCCCACTTTCTCACTGAAGGTAATTAAATAACTTCCTCCAGCATTTTGACACATGTGTGTATAATACATAATATAATATATACCATATAATATAATATATGGCGACATCAAAATTTATGGTAATTAAAAGAAGAAACGTATTTTTTAAACGTGTGAAATCATGAAGAATGAGCGTGAACATTGGTTGCAGGAGGACATAACAACAAAAGAAGACTCGGCGCGGAAAGGGTAGATGACGGAAGCACAGTCTGTCAAACATGCATCACTGAATATCCGGAAGGTTTCCATGACATCGAATTTACTGCTCGCTTGGCACATCAGAGATCGAGAGCTCCGATCACACCAGAGACGGTGCGTGTACGCGGATTGCTTAGGGTAATACGAAACATTCTTATGAGCGTTCGGAGTGGACTTTAGCGTTCGGAGTGGAGACGGCTTCATAAACAATTCATAGTAGAATTGGAGACGATTTAACACTGCAAAATATCAAGGACAACTTTACGACGTCGAATACACAAGACAATAGCTGTGAGTAATATAGTGCTGTCAAGTTCTTTTAAACTTTCTTTAAATCGTTCAAATGTGTGCACAAACATTACTCGACATTTAATATTATTAGGGAAGCAAGAAATCACAATTGTGGTGTTGTATATTTGATTAATTGTTAGGTTTAGAAAACTCAAATTTTATTCTATTCACGTTGAATAGGTTAGTAAGAAGTAAATTGAGATTATATTAATTTTTTTAATTGTGATGGTTTCATTTTATTTTTATTTAAGTTATAATAAATAATTGCTATTTTTTGAAGTTACATTTGTGTTTCTTTAAGAAAAAGTCACACACAGAGGTTTTCTGAAGAACACTATTAGCATATGCTGTAGTAATCACCTATCTTTATCTCTCACTATAACTGGCAATGACATAAGGGAATTGTCGGTACAATACGAAATGAACATCGCAGGGTGGCAGGCAACCCGACATCAGGGTTACGAAGTTGATTATAAGAGAGGAAGAAAAGACATCCATGAGACACTTACCACCACCGCGGCTCCTGACTGCGCCGCCGCCACTGTTGCTCCAAACCACTGGCGCGATTTGTTGTCGATGTCGTGTCGCGTCACGTTGCGGTTGTTGCCTGAAAACAAAAGAAAGCAGAAATGAAATCATTGTTGTTCCAACTATCGGAAGACAAAATAAAGCGAAACATATGCATTGAATTATTCACCAAAAATAAATTAACTATTACGAAGCCCATGCTGATCCACGGGGAAGGAGTTGAGAAACATTTCCCCTCCCAAAAGTTTTCAGTTGTTATTAATTTGTTAGAAAACTATCAAGGAGAAATATTTTTGAACAAACATTGAAATGAATTAAAGTGTATGGCTACATGAGCTGCTCTTGCCCTATGTAATTCTACATCATCTATAATACGACACATTCCACCAAAACATTTTGAATAAAAACAAATTTCCTCCCAAAAGTTGTCTCTGTATCAGCCCCTGCGAATCTGAATGATCGCAGTGACTAAAGATGCTGAAAAAGCGACCACCACCAATTTTCTCGCAGATGTTAAGAAAATAATATTTACCTCGTCTGCATTTCTATTTTTAACCCCACGTTTTATTGTACGCAATGTGTATTCCGAAGCAACATGAAAATTTCTCCCCTTTCAAAATTGAAAATTATGTTAAATCAGCAGAACTAAAAAGCTAACAACAATTAGCATAACCAAGGAGGGAAGAATACTTAAGAGATTATATATTTGTTCTCAGGATTCAATTTCTTAGGAAGGTGACAATTATGGATATTTATGATTATAAATATATTAAACTATAGACAATAATGTTGGACTTTCTACTCCACCTATACTGGGATTATTCACACAAAAAATCGGTTTAATTACCTCAAACACCTACAAATTAGAATACATTCTGGTTGACATATTGTTATTTATTGCCTTTGCAATGTATTAAACTGAATAAATCAATCAATCACCTACAACTTATTTTAACCGGAGAGGTCCGCCATCAGGCAACTTCTTCCGCCTGACAATGGTATTTACACCTCACTCTATGCGGCATCGAGCAAAGACAGAAGATATCACTCGGAAGACAAAACATTAGGTTTGAATATACTCGAAACGTTACTGCACCGAGTCTATGTGACGGCTGATGGAAGTTTTGACTTGTCAGTGTATGTACACGGGACACATGAAGACAACGCGTTTGGATATCAAGGGTCTACAAAACTGGTGATCTAATATCACTACGTTATCGAAAAAGTAATCTGCAAGACATAGAAATAGAAAAATACAATTTTTTGGTATCACGGAAAACAGCGCTTTCAGCTGTTGACCGAAAGGTTGGTGGTTCGAGCCCACCCGGGGCCGAGTACTACTTTTAGCTTGTCATAGTATGCATTGGAGCGAAATGACGCCGAGGAAGCTCTAACCGTCAGCCTCCGTGGCGCAATCGGCTAGCGCGTTCGGCTGTTAACCGAAAGGTTGGTGGTTCGAGCCCACCCGGGGGCGGATACTACTTTTAGCTTGTGAGGGTTCGAAGCCTTCGATATGAAGAAAAGGAACCGACTCCGTAAGTCCCCTTCCTCCGGTCTCTGTAATCGTCGTAACCATTCATATATTCGTTAACTGGGATGAATAGGGTTAATAGCCCTGTAAATACATGCACAATTCAATTAATTGCATTCCTAAGCGTCACTTGTGATTTTTACTTGTGGCATAACGACTGTTCCCCGATTGCCAGCATTTTAGCTTGCCTGTTAACGTTCATTAGAAATGTGAGCGAGACATGGAGTCGCAAAGAACCCCATATTTATCTGATGTGTATAGTAACTGTACTAACATACATCATCGCTCCTATTAGAATGTCTAGTGTTATTATTGTCCCTATCACGGGCAATAAATAACGGAGCACTATAAAATACTTCGTTTCTTGACAACTGAACATTTTTTGAGAGGTATATATGGTTAGAATACAAATGCCATAGGAGAGTCATAATTTACAACTGGATGCTATAAACCAGTCTATTGTACAGAGTAGCGTAATAAAAGACTCTATAGTCTGTAGGCATTAATAATTCAAACAATTACACAAAACCATTGCGTCGAGAAATGTATCAAAGAAAGATTGACACAGTTATTTTTATGTTTTCTGGACCAAATCGCACACTTTTATCTTGTCAAAAAGTTTAGACAAATCTAACGAAGGTATCTAACATAATTAAAAAGTTAACTCGTTAAATAAAGAAATATAAATAAATGGTTATAAAAGAATCAACATCAGAACAACAATCAACTGCACAAGTATTATAGTCCCACAAATATTACATTTCAAATTAACAGTGACTTTTCCCTGAGTTTGCGTGCATGTTGGAAATACGTCGAATATTTTGGACAAATGTTTAATTTTAATTCGGAATATTTTCTCAATGATTGTCATTACTATGAAGCAATCTAACGCAAAAACACGGTCAGCATGACTTTGGTCAACCCTAAGGCTGAGTCATCCGATTATTTCAAGAGCATTTGCTTGGAAGAAGTATCCCCCCTCTGAATGGACTTACCGGCAATCATCACAAGTGACTCCTGCAATTGACTGGAGAAACCAGCAGTTTATAAAAAAGGCAACGGCTAGAGCTGGTGCTGAGCGTGATGACATTTAAAAAAAGGACAATGCACAGTGCAGAGAAGTACCTGCACTGACGCACAAATATACCAAACGTACTTGGTTGTTTCACCCAATACGTGCATTGGCAAGAAAAAACAAGCACCAGACCTCTGGTCGGCTCGAACACCGTATATTTCGATTACCAGCTGAATGCACTAGCCGATTACGTCACAAAGGCTGACGGCGAATTCTTCCTCGGCGTGATTTCGCCCCAATAGATACTATGACAAGCTAAAAGTGGTAAGCGCCCCCGGATAGGCTCGAACCACCAACCTTCCGGTTAACAGTCGAAAGCGCTAGCCTATTGCGCCACGGAGGCTTTCTTCGAACGCTTTTCGTCTCTATTTCGCCCCATTACATACCCTCACAAGCTAAACTAGTAAGCCTGAAAAGGCAAATGTAGTATGCGCCCCCGTGTGCGATCGAACCACCTACCTCTTGGCCAGTGCCCCCGCGTGCTTGAGGAGAATTCTTCTGTTAGTGCTAAATCCCACCCGAGCGAGGCCGCCGCCGCCCCGCGCGCAGTTGGCATTCCCGCCGCGTCCCGAAGACGGCTCGCGGGGCGACCCCACTCGTGAGCCGCGGGCGGTGTGTCGGAGCGTGGCGCTGGGGCAGGGCGAAAGGGGGTGGGGGGGAAGGGCGGTCGTGTGGCCGCGCCGCCGATAAGCATCTCGCGGCAGGAGAAGGTCCTCTGCATAATAACGGACGCCCTGTCTACGCGCTCGGCGCGCAACGTCACGGTGACTCGGCGGCCACTTGCTGCCCTTCACAAATTCGTCGCCGAGTCGTGCCTCGGAGCCACGGGCCAAAGGCCCGGAGATGTAATTTATTACAACTTCATTTCCACAAACGCTGTGAGCCCAGCGTTGAGATCGGGGCGCTATGAAAACACTGAGTTCCGCTCAGGGCTAGTACTGCCGCTCTTCAGCGATTCTGCCCGAGAAAAAAAACCGGTTTGAAGTCCAATGGTAGCGGATTTTGGACACTTATAGCGAGATCACGTAGAGCCATTATTATGAGCCATGCGGCAACCGGCTTCTCTGATCGATTGTTTTCAGTGGTTACTTCCATCAATATCAGACAAATTCCAGAGCAGTACCCAAACAAAGTGGACACGGCTTCCGTGTCGACCGTGCCTTCCGTTTCTGTCCTAATCTATCCTCTCACTTTCCCCCATGGTTACATTCTCTCCTCACTCATGGTAGTCGGGAGCTCAGGGCTTGTCTAAAATGGAGTGGTGTCTCGTTGGGAGAGATTACCTGGAGCAAAAGCCAGAAGATACATTCCTTCCTCGTATTGTGATGAATACGATGGTGTTCTTTTAAATAGGAAATATCTTATTTTGCATCAATCCATACGTTGCGATACAAATCGAATGTGCTAGAATGTAAACTGTGGCCAAAAAATATGCTTGCTCCATTGTCATCCACTGGATCATGCAGACACAATTTGCAATACACGTAAGCTCTACAGATTTTTTACTGCTTTGTTTGATTTATAATACCTATAACTTTAGAGTAAGTTCACCAGTAAACATCCCCCTGTGATCTTCATATTTTAAAAAAATGCATATAACTAGGGGGCGGCTGACATAAAACATCGCCAAAAGCACACGGTTTGATGACATAAAACATTGCCAAAACAATCAGTAAAATTCTCGCAAAATGTTTTAAAAATACCCTAAAAGCAAAGGGGGAAAATGTTCATGGATCAAAATTTGATGAACAACTGAAGTTGTGGCATACGTTATTGATGTAATCGATGCTTCTTCCTTTCGTTGAAGTGAAGTCATTTCGGAAACTATTGGTTTAGACTGTTCCTAAGAAAAAAAAATCTCTGCTTTTATTTTGCCCTAAATAGGCAATGGCGCTGATAGGCGGCGCAGTAACCCTAAATTGTATACTCACAACGGATGACATTGCAATTTCTCAGCGAAGAAATTGAATAGGTTACTCAGGAATTCTGTGGAGAACATTTATTTCATACCGTAATTATTCCTAGCAAGTACCATTGAAATGATATTCTAATCGAAAAAATCAGCGAAAAATGCTTGAAAAGTCAAGGGAAAATGGAAAAAATTTCTTATTAGTAGAAATGGAATCAAAATTAAAAAGTGTCATGCAAAACTGTTTTATCATAACATAAAATGAATGTCTGTACTAAAAACACTGATACAAAGTGAAAAGAAAAAACTGACATATCATTAAAATTCGCCCCTTCATATACCTATAATGTAGCTTGTCTATATCACGACCCTCGAATGAGCAAAAGGGGAGTTCAGGATTTGTACGCACCGAACAGATTGCAATAACAAGAGTGAAATACACGAAAACCTCAATCTCCGGCCCCCTTCCTCCCTCACACTGGTCAGTGAGTGTAAGCCGCGATCGCAGCTGACGATCGGGCGGAGGCAGTGGCCCGCAGAAGCGCCGTGCTCTCCGCCTGGCGCGATAGGCTATTCAGAGGAGCACTCGGCGCCGGCGGCGCCGGCGCCTGAAAGCCCCTGAACGCGGAAGTCGAGCTCTGGCAGCGGAGTGCGGGGAGGGGAATGACTGGGGAAAGATGAGATCGAGGGTTGCGGATCGCGGGGAGCGAGCTTCTGGAAACAGGAAGGGGGACGAGGTGGAACATGCAACGATTGGCGAAATGTTGAGTAATAATAATAATAATAATAATAATAATAATAATAATAATAATAATAATAATAATAATAATAATGAATTTATTAATAGCGAGGCTCAGGCCATAAGGCCTGCTCTGAGTGACTCTGCCTTGAGTGGATTGGCAAATGTCTAATGTGAGACGTGGAGGGCGTGAAGCAGGGAGTAGGCGAGGAATGGGGAACCTGATGGGTAGAACTGAGAATGAGTGGAGAAATGAGGAGTGGATCGAGGAATGTAAAAGCTACGGAGGGTAAAGCAGGACGCGGCATGGCGACAAAAGGACGGTGAGAAATGGGAAGACAGGGGAGTGTGGGAAACGATTGGCGAGATGCGGCATGGATTGTGCGATGTAGCAATGGAAACTAGAGAAGGGGGAAACCGGAAGAGGAAAATAAGACGTTGGCGAGTGGGGGTACGGGGTGGAACGCGATGACGGGGTGTGAAGCGTGGGGAGCGGAGAGAAAAAAAGGGAAGTGGGCAGCGGGGTAAGGTGCATGCACAGCGTCTGGAGGAAAGCAAAATACTCCGATCTCGGGAGTGATGGGTCGCAGACTGTCGAACAGAGAAAATGAGAATCGCGGATTAGTTACCAGGGAATGAGAAGTGAAAATAGAAGAGGATCGAAAAAAGAAGAGGCGGGAAACGCAGGGGCCGAGAGAGACGTAGAGGGAAGTGGAGAACGAGCCACAAATTATGGAAATTTACTCGCAGGACGTAGCAAGATAAGCCCAGGAAACGGGAAGCAAGGATTGGAGGAGTATAGGACAAGCAAGGCAAAGGAATGATAACGCGTATTCCGTGGCCTATTCGATAGGGTACTGCGCAGGCATTCTCCTGATATTGACCGGAGAAACCACGGAACTCTACCGATCAGAGCAGCCAGCCGCTAGAATTCTCCTCCTGACAGCGGCTGAATTCGGCCTAGCTTTGTAGCTAGAGTCGCAAATCCTGCCACAGCCGGGAGAGGAATCCTCGAACTTCCCGGTCAGACGCCCTGCAGTGGCATCCATTGAAGCCCTGAGCCACCCACGCCGGTGGGATGGTGGGAACGGAGGGAGGCCGCGCGACGCGCCAGGGGCCAATAACTCCCATATAACGTGGTGGACCATGACGGTGGCGCGCTCTGCTGCATCACCTTCTTTACAGGAACTAAAATAGAAACTGCTGCCAACGATACTTTAAACGTGCGTGAGTGCTGCGTAAGTTCGCGGGTCGCAAGCAGGACCATAATGTTACAAAAGATAACGTCTACGTTCGCGCTTTCTTCAGAGATTTCTTACAAGTAGAGAATATGAATAATTGTACATTTAGAAGACACTTTTCGTAATTCTCACAAATTAGCCAGTTTGTATGTGGGAAAGTTGGCAAGCCTAGTCTGCAGCTGCACCCGGCGACACTAGCGCTTCCTACAGTAGCAACCTCGAGCTTTGTCCCCGATTTTGATGGAGAGTTGCCGGGCCCTGCGACGCGCTTCGGCTGCCGGAGAAGGGAAGCGCAGCGCAGCGCTTTGTGAGGTAGCAGTCGAAGCGTTGGGGTGGGGGTGGGGTGACAGACTGCGCGCGACTCAAAAGCGCCGTCGCTCGCGATCGGAAATGAAGAGTTATATTCGGGCGGGAGCGGCTGCCGCTGGCGGGCGCGCGCGCGCGGCGTCAAAGACATTCCGAGGCGCAGGCGGCCACGGAGCAAACAGAGCGAGCGACACGTCCAAACAACTCCATCGCACGCGTCCGCGCCGCCAAACGGCCCTCATCTCCCCAGCTCAGTCGCCAGCGGCGCAAATCCTACC